GGGTTGGATGAGGGAGACCATCCAGCAGAAACTCCAGGCAACTCAAATGAGACGAGTGAAGAGGGTCGTATGTGCCGGCCAGGAGCAATGAAAACCAAGAACTGTATCTACTGTGATGAGGAAGTCCCTATTGTGCAGCTAATGAGTCACCTGGAGGGTCATGAGCAACAACAGTATCCATGTCCCTACTGCTCATTGAAGGCTCCAAGACTCTCGCTGTCTAGGCACATTCAGCAGCAGCATCAAGAGTTCATCATGACCTGTGAGATATGTTGTGCAAAATTTCTAGAGTCAGATCTCTACAGGAAGCACCTGGAAACCCATTGTGTTGGATTGCATCATTGCTCAGACTGTGGTAAGATTTTTGGAACTGAGGATGAACTTCATAATCATGCAAATGTGGCACACATCCCAAAAAGTGAAGATAATTATAGTTGCTCTTTGTGTAGTAAGACATACACAAGCCGATTCAAATACATTAGCCATGCTCTAAAATTCCACAAAGGTGGCATTCCAATTGAAGGTGTTGTGTGGGGTGGACGGGGTTTGTTAGCGTGCAATATATGTGAGAAGAGATTTAAGAAAGCTTCACTCTTCATTACACATGAAAAGACCCACAGAACAAGAAAATTCCATTGTCATTATTGCTTGAACAAATACCCATCAGAATATTTCTTGCATGACCATCTTTTGACTCATCAGTTTGGAGATTATGACTGCAGTGATTGTTTAGTCAAGTTTGCTTCTCGTAATCAGTTAAACATACACAAAGAGAAAATGCACAACCACAAGGTAAACAGAGTGTGTGAATACTGCAACAGAGAATTTAAAGAGTACATACAGCTTATCAGCCACAAGAGGAAAGCACATCCTGAGTCAGAGGAATCTCAGAAGGCAAAATACACCTGTGGTGACTGTGGCCGTAAATTTATGGTAAAGGGTAACTTCTTGAGACACATGAAATTACATGAAAAAGGCAAGTCAGAAAAGAAATGTGCTTGTAACATATGTGGTAAAGTGATGTCCAATAAGTATGCCTTAGCATCACACTTGAACACTCATACTCGAGAATCTTCACTGAAATGTAAAAGCTGTGATAAAACTTTTGTGACTAAGTATACTCTTCTTGATCACGTGAGAAGAATTCACGATGAGTTAGGCTCCGGCAGAGACAAGATTTGCAAACAGTGTGGTCGTAGTTTCTTCACCAACGCTGAACTCAAATACCATTTAAAGACACACACTGGAGAGAGACCTTATAGGTGTGAAATGTGTGGAGAAACTTACCTCTCCTCTTCCACTCTTAGATATCACATGCAGAAGCATTCCAATGTTATGTTTGTCTGTCAAGACTGTCAGGCAAAATTCAAGAATTATGTAGGATGGAGTGCACATATGAAACGTGTACATGGAGTTACTTGTGTCAAGGATTATACCAGAGAGCATGGCATATTACAGGCTGTGTTAGAAAAAGAATCACCTCTTTACATTGTTGCTCAGGGACATGCAAAGACAGTAGATGCTACTCAGAATATTTCTTCAAGAGGATTAGAGAAAGAGTGCTTGAATTCAGCCACTCTAGCTGTTGGTCTGGAAGAAACTGTTGTAAGCTTACCTGGTAAGGAAGTGGGGAATATTATCCATGTTGTGTCTTATGATGATTTGGCCAATCCTCTGGTCCACACCGTTGATGCTGCCGAAGTGGGCCTAATTAAACCAGATCCTGAGGAAACGTGCATTACACAGCCAAGTTCGAATCTCCCTTCATCCATGGCTGCGGGCAACACTTCCATGGATCCTGGCAGTGATGGAAACTACCCACAGAACAGTGAGAGAACAAGGGTGATGATTCCTGAAGGATGGGAAGTCATTCTGCCCACAGAAAGTGAAGAGTCTCAGGTGGTGATGACTGGGGGCTGGGAGGATACTCGGATTGCTGTCCCACAGGCAAGTGAAGAATCGCAAATGGTCTTGACCAATGAGTGGGAAGAGACCCAAGGGATGGCTCAGTTGGTTATTTCTGAGGAAGGCGAAGAAACTCGTGTTGTCATGACCTCATGGAAGGATTGTGTGGATTATTAATACTTGTTTATTGATTTGATATTTGTCTGAGATTTTGAGGTCCTACACACATGGACAGTGTGCAGAGGTCATGAATTAGAATTTCTGAGTTGCTGTCTGCTTTTTTTATGTTCACTTGTGCCAAATGGTATTAACTTGTTTAGCGTTGCTCATTAAAGCACGGTGTTCAAATGTCAGAAATTGGGGTTGATATATTCACCATTGATATGAAGTATATAATTTGGAAGTATGTTTTTCTTTCATTGCTTGCTTTTATGACTGGGTTTTGAAAAGCTTTTTTATTTAGATATAAAAAAAGGCAGGATTATGGAGTTGCAGGTAGGGCAATGTATTTTTTCCGAGTGATAAATTTACTGCTTCTTTCCAGAAGCTATTTTCATCCTGTTTCCTTTTCTCTTTTTCCAAAATGGAACAAATTACTACAAGTACCTGATGTAATGATGGCCCCACTGTTTTAAAGATAAACTAAAGAATTAATTTATATGAGACAAAGAATAAAATTGAAGAAAATCTACTTCTTTGTTTTACTTTCACTTTATACTTCACAAGGTGTTCATATTGCATGTCTTTTCCTCTCACAAACGGACTTATGTATAGGAATGTGGCTCTTTGTTCTTGTTTTCATGATATTAAGAAGGTCATTACTTCCTTCAGAGTTTTCGGTTGTTTTTAACATTCTTAAGGAATTGATCTTTTCTGCATTAATGAAAAATTTGAAAGAGTATTTTTTTATTTTACTTTATCATTATACATATATGATATGTGAAATGTTGATGAAAATAAATTGTGAATTAAAGAAATGGAGACATAAGTGAAGGAAATATATGACAAAGGAATCATTGTAATTGATTTTTGGCATGACTTTGGATAGGATTTATAAGTATCTGCTGGTTTTGTGTTCAGATCTGCTTAACACAGGCAGATAGAGACACATACTTATAATAACACTCACTCACTCACCCACTTTTACTCTCCTCTCCTCTCCTCTCCCTCTCCTCCCTCTCTCTCCTCTCCTCTCCTCTCCTCTCCTCTCCTCTCCTCTCCTCTCTCTCTCCTTCCTCTCCTCTCCTCCTCTCCTCTCCTTCCTCTCTCTCTCTTTCTCTTTCTCTTCTCTTTCTCTTCTCTCTTTCTCTTCTCTTCCTTTCTCTTCCTCTTTCTCTTCTCTCTCTCACTCTCTCCTCTCTCTCTCTCTTCTCTCTCTCTTCTCCTTCTCTCTCTCTCTCTCCTCTCTTCTTCTCTCTCTCTCTCCTCTCTCTCTCTCCTCTCTCTCTCTCTCTCTCTCTCCTCTCTCTTCTCTCTCTTTCCTCTCTTCTCTCTCGTTCTCTCCTTTCCTCTCTCCTCTCTCTCTCGTCTCTCTCTTCTCCTCTCTCTCTCTCTTTCTTCTTCTCCTCCTCCTCTCTCCCCTCTTCGCTCTCTCTTCTCTCTCTCTCTCCTTCTCCTCTCTCTCTTCTCTCTCTCTCTCGTCTCTCTCTCTCCTCTCTCTCGTCGTCTCCTCTCTTCTCTCTTCTCTCTCTCCTCTCCTCTCTCTCTCTCCATCCCTCCCTCCCTCCCTCCCTCCCTCCCTCTCCTCCTCCTCCCTCCTCTCCCCTCCCTCCCTCCCTCCTCCCTCCTTTCCTCCCTCCTCCCTCCCTCCTTCTCCCTCCTCCCTC